TTTAAACATGGTATTATCTGTCTTTCTTCGACTTATTGTGTATTATATTTTCCTTTGACATCTTCTTCACGTTCGTAAACCTTCAATACAGCTGATGGTGGACTGCTAGTCCCCGTAGATATCACCAGCTCAGATGTAAGTGCTCGGTACTGACATGACCTATAGCTTACCTTCCTCAAATTCTCCGTTTATGTATTTAGAAATTTCTCTCGCATCACTGAAGACTTACACAATGCACATCTGTTCGTGTAAAATTGGTGCTGGGCTTATGTTATTCATACTTTCCTTAGGCAAAAAATTACCTATGAAGAATTTAATTATTCTGTTTAGGACCCTTTTGGTAAATAGCTCATCAAGTATCATCAGTTTAGTAGTTACGTGATTAAATTTAGATTTTCTTGCGAAACTAAGGTGCATAGCCCCTCGGACAATGTTGAACTTAGGTAAATATGGCTATTGTTAGGTCAAGTATTTTTTTTTATAATACAAACATAGTATAAAGATAAAATTCATATACGTATACAATAACAGTTTAGTGTCTTAAATATCAGCTGTATTTGTACGAGGCTAAGAAACAGATGTAATGCGAGCTTCGGCGAGCTATTACTCCTGTTTCGAGCCGAGTACAAATACAGCTGATATTTAAAGACACTAAACAGCTATTTTCTTTATCCTGCAATTAATTTTGTACATTTTTTTCCATCCCAATCGTTGAATTTGTTTTCGAAAGAAAACGACATGACTTAAACGCAGACCGCAATGAGGACCCCAAATTGAACTGTGACGTAAACAGTAATTTGACATAACCGTTCGCTCGCAACAGAAGCAGGATACCGGGTGACTATATACGTCTAGTATACGTATATCGCTTCGTGTTATCTGTACACCTGTATGCGTATAGTAAACAGGTCGATTGCAGGATAAATAATAATATGTACGAAATGGATTGATTGATTGATTGTTGGTTGCTTAACGTCCAGTGGTGTACGAAATGGAAACCATATAATACTGCAACTAGTTGTTTATTTCCTAAATATAGTAACAAAGCTATATTTTGTCCAATGTCAATTTCATCGTGGATCACTTTTTCCAAGGGTTCATTTATTTAAGTTTGAAATTTGTGTTACAATTTAAATAGCTATCAATGTATTAATTTAAGTTGCAGTATAAAAACAATATTAGGTCAATGTCAGAAAAATATAAACTTTTTTGTATTCGGCACAAAACTAGGGAAGGGCTCGGTACAACCTCGCCCTTCTCCAGTATCTCAGCCTCATACAAAACAGTTTATATTCTTCTGACATTGACCTAATATTGTATATTTCCGCTCATACTATAATTTGCCATGTTCACTGAATTGCGAAATCTGGGTAAAAAACCTAATTTGGCATATATTTTGAAAAGTTCCCAACATAATGAATTTGTGAACTAATTAAGAGAGGTGAAAGATACCAATGAGACATTCAATCTCATAAGTAGAAAATAAACTGACAACGCCATGGATTAAAAAGAAAAAGACCAACAGACAAACAGACAAACAGTACTCAAAACACAACATAGAAAACTAATGACAGAGCAACCAGGGATGGGGTTATCATAATTTGTAATCGTAATCGATTGTAATTGTTTACATTTTTTTCAGTAATCGACAGTAATCTGTAATCGAAGATATTTTCGATTACATGTAATCGTAATTTAATCGATTACAGCAAAAAATATGATGTAATCATCGATTACTTTTCGATTACATTTTGATTACTTTAGTAAAATAGTTTGTTGAAATATAACCTATTTAAAATAAAAATATGTATGACATAATGTATTCATCACCTTTATAGTACATGAATGCAATTATAAATCATGAATTTCCATCTTTAAGATTAGCTGTACTGATTAATTCTTCTACTTTTCATATATTTTGTTTCTGATGAAACTTCCAACATTGTAATGAACTATTTTCAAATAAATATACCTGTTAATAATGAATAAAAACAAAAAACCTCACTTAAGTCAGTATGACAGCAAACATTTTCAACATATGGAGAAAATAAGCTAAACTATAAAGAAGTGATTGATGCAATGCTGTGTCATTGCAAGAACTTTATCACCACTCACTCATGTTGAAAACCAAAATTTCATGAACTTTTGAATGTTTCAGATACTGTAGTAAGAGCTTCCATCTAGAAAACAACTGTTTTACATAAAATTTGGAAACAGTGCTTTAATGTTGTTTTTGTAAAGTTCTTAATTTCCACTATACGAACGTTGAGCAACATAATTGTGTGTAACATACTTTATTATTTTTTTATAATTGTGTAGCATGTAATTGACAGTAATCGAAAATTAATGTAATTACTTTTCGATTACAAAAATCTGAGTAATCAATTATTAACTGATTATACAAAAATCCTTCAAGTAATCGTGCCCATCCCTGAGAGCAACACGAACCCCACCAAAAACTTGTGGTCTATGGGCCGATCAACAGTTTCGTATAAATTACTAGGGATGATTTCCAGAATAAAAATAGGATGGGGGAAAAACCCGGTTTATTTCACATATCTACTGAAAAATATTACGTTTTTTTTGTATTTGATAGTTTAAAATAGTTAATTAGTATATGTTATGGTCAAAATTATTTCAAAAGCATGTTTGATATTCTTGAATTAATTAGAGACGACTCTGAGAACTTCTACGTTTTTTTTTTTGGTAAGGAAAAATGAAAACTAGCTTGTAGATACTGTAGCATCTCCTGGAGCAGGAGATTGTACCCTGGACTAAAACTTTTACAAAGACAACGTAAAAGTCTTTAAGATACATACAGTTTTAATTACCAAAACGTACATCATTTTGAGGCCCTTTTATAGCTTGCTGTTCGGTGTTGAAGCGCGTACTTTGACCTATAATGGTTTACTTTTACAAATTGTGACTTGGATGGAGAGTTGTCTCATTGGTACTCATACCACATCTTCTTATATAAATGTATCATACGTTCATACATATGATCAAATTTCAAATTATTCATGTTAGGAGAGTAGATGAAACTGTTTCACTATGTCAAAAATGCAATTTACGAAAGAATTTGTACTTCATTATATTATATTATATATTCTATTAAATCTGATTGCAGTGATACCTAGTTTCATACAGACAAAACCATCACAAAATTTTCCTTTATGGAGGGTCCCTCAAAATATGGCATTATATGGGAAAAACTGTTAATCGCACCCTACGTTCTGTAGAACCCATGGTTTAGTTATCTGATGGAGAACGTCACTCATAAAGCTGTCACATTCTTATATATATATATAATTAATTTGGCTCGTTTAATTTTCATAAAGTTTTGACAAAATGTTTACTTTGACCCTTGACAAAAATATAAAAATTTCAAAAAACTTGAACCACACACTTTATTGGAAAGATTTCATTGGATATATAGCAGTTTGACAAACACTAATTTTGATCTTTAAGGAACTTAATATTTCCTTAACAATAGAACGTTATTAAAACGTTCAGCTGTTTTTACAGAGTTATCTCCCTGTAGTGTTATGTACCACCTTAATAGGTATCGGAACGTCTAAACGACATTTCATAAAGGACAGGGAAATATTAAACAAGTATACAGTTTTGTTCAACGATACTGATACAAGATAATTACATACAAATCTTAAGAAGACTTGTATGTATTTCTGCTTTGTATCGATTTGATGAGTTCAGCCCTTTTCAACTGATTGTTATAGTTTATTCTTATGTTGTACTGTCACACCAATGTCCCAGGTTAGGGGAGGGTTGGCACGCCTTCAAACTAGTTCAACCCCGCCACATTCTGTAGATGCCTGTCCCAAGTCAGAAGCCTGTTATTCAGTGGTTGTCGTTTGTTGCTTATATCATATTTGTTTTTCGTTCATTATTTTGTACATAAATCAGGCCGTTAGTTTTCTCGTTAGAATTGTTTTACGTTCGTCATTTCGGGCCTTTTATAGCTGACTATGCGGTATGGGTTTTACTCATTGCTGAAGGCCGTACGGTTACCTATAGTTGTTAATTTCTGTGTCATTTTGGTCTCTTGTAGAGAGTTGTCTCATTGGCAATCATACCACATCTTCTTATTTTTATATTATATATGTATAATAAAATTAAAATTTAATGTGGCGGAATGGTAATTCATATTATCATCCTTCACGACAGACAAAATAGCTGATCTGAAAGGTACACCATCTACTTGCCACTATACATCATGTACTGTGTTACAACCCTAGATAAAGCCGACGAGGAAAGGCACTACATCGACCACCGAAAGCTATATTTTTATGTAGCCGAGGTGGTCGAGCGGGCTAGGGCGCTGGTAACGGTGCCTCGCTGTCACAGACGCAAGGGTTCGAGTCCCGCTGAGGGAAGAACAAAAATTTGCTAACGCAAATTTGCAGATCTGACTTTGTTGGGCTAAATATGAGACAAATTATATATACAGATTTGTGCAACGATCCCTATGAAATTTGCGGTTGTTTGTTTTCTATACACTCTTAATAATTATATACGATGCCGTTTCATCTTGTATTAATAGTTTTATCTTTAATCAGCATCGTTGCACAAATATTAAAACTTTTTTTATATATACATTTAAATGTGTGTCTGTTTCTTCATTTGTTCAAAGAGAATCAGAAAAAAAGCTGACAGAACTATGGAACCTTTATAGAAACGACCATAAGAACATTCAACAACTGGAAAACCAGTGTGTTTGTGACATTCCTCCTTCATCTGAAACCCAGAGCTAATTTAATTATTGGTCACGGCGGCATATTTTTGTCAACACTTTCAAAAAGATTCAATAAGAGCTATATGAAACTACTTGTGTACAATCAGTTTTATATAATGTCATACACAGGAAAATACCACAAGCTGTTCAGAAATGCATTTGTCAGTTAAACTGTTGAATCATTTGTTATGTTCAATAGATATTTTATATATAAATTCTGTCAATCGGAGTTTTCCCCATATTTTTATTTCTTTTTCATGCTTCTGGGGGATTTTTTCGTGCTTTTCAGAGACTTTTTCTTGCTTTTTGGAGATTTGTCCTTTTTGGGAGGAGCCTTTTTGGAAGAAGCCTTTTTGGAAGAAGCTTTTTTAGGGGAAGCCTTTTTAGGGGAAGCCTTTTTAGGGGAAGCCTTTTCAGGGGAAGCCTTTCTAGGGGAAGCCTTTTCAGGGGAAGCCTTTCTAGGGGAAGACTTTCTGGGGGTAGCCGCCTTTTTCGGAGATTTTGCCGGCTTTTTTTCTGCCTTTTCTTTGTCTTTCTTTTCTTTGTCTTTCTTTTCCTTCTCTTTCTTTTCTTTGTCTTTCTTTTCTTTGTCTTTCTTTTCCTTCTCTTTCTTTTCCTTCTCTTTCTTTTCTTTGTCTTTCTTTTCCTTCTCTTTCTTTTCTTTGTCTTTCTTTTCTTTGTCTTTCTTTTCCTTGTCTTTCTTTTCTTTGTCTTTCTTTCCTTTGTCTTTCTTTTCCTTCTCTTCCTTATCTCTCTTTTCCTCCTTTTCTTTTTTTCCCTTAACTTTCTTTGTCTTCTCGTTTTTTTCCTTCTGTTTGTCTTCCTTTTTCTTGTCTCCACCACCACCGTCACCATCATCCCCTCTATCATCATCATCTTTTTGCTTATCTTTCTTTTCCTTCTTTTTATTTTTATTTTTCTTATCACCGCCACCATCGCCTCCTCCACTATCATTATCTTCTTCTTGCTTATTTATTTTTTCCTTCTTTTGGACTTTCTTTTTCTCGACTCCACCACCACCGCCTCCTCCGCCATTATCCTCTTCTGACTTATTATCGTCTTCTTCCTTATCTTTCTTTTCCTTCTTTTCTTTTTTTTCCTTCTTCTTGACTTTCGGTTTCTTGACTTCACCATCACCGCCTCCTCCGCCATCATTATCTCCACTATCATTATCCTCTTCTGAATTATCATTGTTTTCATCCTTATCTTTCTTTTCCTTCTTTTCTTTGTTTTCCTTCTTATTGACTTTCGTTTTCTTGACTCCACCACCACCGCCTCCTCCGCCATTATCCTCTTCTGACTTATTATCGTCTTCTTCCTTATCTTTCTTTTCCTTCTTTTCTTTTTTTTCCTTCTTCTTGACTTTCGTTTTCTTGACTCCACCACCACCGCCTCCTCCGCTATCATCATCTCCACTATCATTATCCTCTTCTGACTTATCATCGTCTTCTTCCTTATCTTTGTTTTTCTTCTTTTCTTTGTTTTCCTTCTTATTGACTTTCGTTTTCTTGACTCCACCACCACCGCCTCCTCCGCCATCATCATCTCCACTATCAATATCCTCTTCTGTTTTATCATTGTCCTCTTTACCTTTAATTTTCTTTTTTACTTTCTCTTTAAAAATAAATAAAATTCCAGCATTACTACTAAAAAAAAGGGAGATTTCAAAACATGATTATGAGAAGAAAACTAACGGAAAGGTGTTTATTTTCAATCTGTCTCTTTGTTTTACTCTTAAAACAAAACAATCTTATGACTTTGAGTTGTTCATTAATATAAAGCACAAAACGGTTGACGTGAAAGTCTTGGAAAGGAGTCAAAGGTAAAAGTCTATAGATTGCTTAAACTTTATTTAAGGGAAGCCAAAGTCTAAAATATGATTTACTGTTTTACCCAGCATTTAGCTTTGTATCATTCTTGAACACTGTTAAATGCTTTTTTTCGCTTTTCTATAGGAAAAAACAATAAATTCAAATACAAAAAATCTTTTTCAGTCGACCATAGTGTACATTTTTTAAATGAAAAGAGTGTGACAATGTGGATTCAATATCATCCATTGGATACTAATTGAACTGTTCAACAAAAGACAAAGGACAAGGTACGATAAGGCCCGTTTTTGGCCCCCCTATTTTCTCATTTTTCAAATTTTGTTTTGGAAAGCTACTTATCACGTTAAAATATTCCCTTAGGTTTGAAGTTTGTTTGGATGAACTTCAAAACCATTATTTTCAGAAAATGGGTGAGATTAGGGGGTTAAAAGGGCATCAAAAATGCCAAAAGAAGGAAAAATTACGATTTTTGGCCATTGTTTCTTAAAATTTAATAGCGTGCGCCTACGTGACCCCGAGAAAATTATGGCGATTTAGACAGCAAAAACAGTTCTCATGACATTGGAATAAAAAAATTCCTGGGTCACGTTGGCGCAGGCACTTAAAAACTAAAATTTCGTCGTAAAAAACCCCTGCAAAGTGAATAATAATTACAATATTTGAATAATAACAGAAAGTTAACCCCCTCACCTCACCTAGTTGCTAAAATTAGTGGTTTTGAAGTTCATCCAAACAAACTTCAAACCTCAGGGAATATTTTAACATAATAAGTAGCTTTATATGATCATTATTACTACATTTTAGTAGTCTGTTGTTATTTATGTATTATTGTCATTTTGTTTATTTTCTTTGGTTACATCTTCTGACATCAGATTAGGACTTCTCTTGAACTGAATTTTAATGTGCGTATTGTTACGCGTTTACTTTTCTACATTGGCTAGAGGTATAGGGGGAGGGTTGAGATCTCATAAACATGTTTAACCCCGCCGCATTTTTGCGCCTGTCCCAAGTCAGGAGCCTCTAGCCTTTGTCAGTCTTGTATTATTTTTAATTTTAGTTTCTTGTGTACAATTTGGAGTTTAGTATGGCGTTCATTATCACTGAACTAGTATATATATTTGTTTAGGGGCCAGCTGAAGGACGCCTCCGGGTGCGGGAATTTCTCGCTGCATTGAAGACCTGTTGGTGACCTTCTGCTGTTGTCTGTTCTGTGGTCGGGTTGTTGTCTCTTTGACACATTCCCCATTTCCATTCTCAATTTTATTCCAAAACAGAATTTGAAAAATTAGAAAATAGGGGGGCCAAAAAAAGGCCTTATCGTACCTTGTCCTTTGCTGAGGGTTCGTATGTTGATTATCAAAACAAAGAAATCGTAACTGTTTCAAAAATATAAATTAACTACAGAATGGATTTTGATCGAAAACTCAATTTTTGAAGGGAGTAACTCGAAAGTAGGTTTAATTTATTGTCTGGTACGTACCAGTTCAGTTATGACAGATGAAGAATGTCACTTTTTAACCAAAAAAGGAAGTATAACTTTCATTTTGAATTGTTTTTGTGGGAAATATCCACCATTTTTTTCTCAATGCAAGTTTTTAAAAAATGGTATGACAGTACAACATATGTATTTTTTAACATGTTCCTGAACAAAAAAGGAAAAAATATCATAAATATAACCAACCCCAAACCCCTGTATTTCGTTTTAATCAAATGCCTAATTTTTGTGTATTAGTTGTGTGATGTTTGTTGATCTGTACAATTGTCCAGTTCCATTTAATTTCCTCTGCTCGGATCTTCTACTCAAAAAATAAACATGGATATCTCAACAATGTGCATAATAATTGAACATTTTCAAATGACAGGTGGTGAGGATGGCCCCTAGGGCTCATCTATATATCATGCAACACATCTTGACATCAAACAAGAAAATGTGTGGTTGTAATATTGTTTAGGAATGAGGATCTCTACCATATTCAAGATTATTTAATATTCTCAATCGATTGGGATTGGGATGATCCCTGTGGACTATCACTATATTCTCATTTAATTTGTCTTGTCATGTAGAACACTGTTCTATCCGTAGATTCTCCTTATTTTAAATAATAATTATTTAATTTGAAAAATAGTTTGCAAGGTCAAAGGTTAAAGGGCAAGGTCACATGTGAGCATTGACCTTGACCATTGATTACGTCATATGGTCATATTGTCATTAGTTAAGACCCAATGTCCCTCATTTACTGTTCGAACGAGTTAAAATTACTTTTTAAAATATGAAAATAAAACAAAAATCGCATACGGTTCTATTGTAATCCCTAACCCTTTTGATCCTCCAAAAATCGTGGTCTATAAACGTATGATACCAAGTTCAGTGCGAAAGGCGCGTATTTAAGAACTAACCTTGATTATGTAATTCCAGAAAAAATTTTGAGAAGCCAGGTACGAAAATCGCTTGAAAGGACCAACATAAATTTGACCAATGTTTTTTTTTCTGTCTTAATAAATAACATACTTTTAACGTGCTTGACATATTTCATTGGATCTCCTGTTTTACACATTGCACATGGACATTCTGGTACAATGTAAGCAATGCCTATACCCACTGGGTCCTCCATTTCACAAGCATTAAGGATAGATGTCTGAATCAATCTCAATAAAACCATCAAAACAATCTAAAATTATCGTTAATTGAACATCAGTACATTTATTACAAGCCATTTTCAAGGACTGTGGATTTATCATATAAGGTGGGTACCAATTTTTAGCGGATTTCTGGGTATGTATATATTGGTAGACCACGAATTTAACTGTTCAAATTTTGTACAAGCCGGTATACTGAGTTTGGCATAACCAAGAAATCTAGCTTCCACAAAAATGCATTTTCTTTTTATTTCACGAAAATTGGTACCCACGAAAATAATTGAATCCACAGTATGCTTCAAGTCAGTGCTTTAATTTGAGACAAAAATAAGTAGTTTATTAATAAGAAATAAATATGTGCAACCTCCCTGCACACTTCTTTTATAAAGACCAGAAGATATTAACTACAGAATGTTGAGATGGAGATCAAGTGTTGTTTATCATAAATTACCGGTTCTCGGCAATCTAATAACATAAGATTACCAAAATAAGACATCAATGGCCACAGGCTATTATGAAAACTCATCAAAGATTACAGTCTTTATATATAGGTATATATATAAATATTTATATATTATGTGTGTATATTATAACAGGCTTGTTAATACAGGATTTATCGCTTACACTCTCTTGTTATAATAAGAGTTCAAGAAAGTTGGCACTCTTTCGAAAGTAAAACTAACACAAAGTGTAGGTGATGGTATTATATTATAATGATATGATACAATGCAAGTAAGTATTCAAATTTGTTTTACAATAAATAAGATTCCGTAACATGTCCTTTATGAAATAAAATATTGAAAATTTTGCACAAAATGCTTGGCATCGGTTTGTATTTAACGAACATAATACATAGAAACGATAGACGAAATGCAACTAATTAATTGTTAATTTTTTTCAGAAAAGATAAATGAATGATATGGTTTAAACAAATATACAACAGGATTGAAAATTCTAAAATGTAATATTATTTTTTAGATGATCATCACTAAGCATTTCCTCAGATAAAATGTTCTTACAATTTGCCAAAATATAGATTTTACCATGCTTTTGAAAAAAATATGATGAAAGTTATGGGTCGCCGTGCTATATTTTAAGCTACAAGTTGTGTACAATTGAAGATTATTGATGTAAAAACAGAATGAAACCTATCAGATAGAATTTTGAAATGAAATGTTAGAAGATAGTTTTTAAAATATGCATTTAGAAAATAAAAAGAAAATTCGTGTCACCGAACTTGTTTTCCTGCTACAAGTAAAAAAGAAAATTTCAGTAACATTCCTTTTTTTTAATGTTTTTACTGTATTACGTTATATAGGCGAGTTAAAAAAGGAATAAAAAGGGGAATAAATCCAAGCAATCAGAATAGATGAAATTCAGCGGACAGAAAGATTCTTCTTAAGATCTCTGAAAAGATTAGATGTATGTTCTCCATATCTTCCTGTTTTTGCCTTTTGAACTTTCAAGACAGTTCAAATGTGTTCACTGGTCGCGTTTGTTGACTGCTGTACCCCTATTTTTTTTTACATTTTTACTTATTATGTTTGTTTTGTTCACCCATTGTTGTCAATATAATGGAATTTTATGCGACTGTCATACAAGTGAGAGGTTTAGCTAGCTATAAAACCAGGTTTAATCTTCCATTTTCTACATAAGGAAATGCCTGTACCACGTCAGGAATATGACAGTTGTTTTCTATTCGTTTGATGTGATTTAGCTTTTGATTTTGCCATTTGATCAGGGGCTTTCCGTTTTGAATTTTCCTTGGAGTTTGGTATATTTTATATTATTTCACTTTTTCTTTTGTAGTCTTGTTGTCATTACAAACATAGGGTTTGCAGTAACCTAAAGTCTAAACTACCAGTTTTGTTAGTTTTGCAGTTCCAAGTTCTCAAATCCAGTACTCTTCTCTGTGACTACGGAAAGTTGTTAATACATGGTGAGATTTGTTCTAGGTACTCTTCTCGAAATCATTGAAATCGCTATCAAAAGTTATCTATCAATCACTGTTACTGTATTGGTGAGGATAAGTGCAAGTCATCTATGTATCATCCGTCCTGTAGTCAGCACTTCAGTCCTAGTATAAAGCGAATGGCACATTTTGATTGTTGAAATTCAGATCACAAATTTGATGTTCCGAACATATAAATTATAATATCTATATGGATACTTTTTGTCGAGCGTATCCAATAGCAGATACTCCAGAAACTTGTTTTCTCTAGAATTGTATTCAACTTTAATCTCAGAGTTTGATATCAAAACGTTTCATGTAACAAACTGTCATCATCTGTCATGCAATCCAATTTGAAAATTACACTCCAACATTGTTACAAGACAAGATAAAAATCAAAAGTCGTAACAAATATGTTATTCGTTCGTTTTCGTCAGCATATATAACCACAACGACTTTTTGTCCCATTGTGATTGAATATTTCATTTTCAGGTTCATCTTATTCCATTTGCAGTTTACTATGCCATATTACCATTATTAAGTTCATTTCACACGATTCTCAGTATCGAATGTAGTTGACAGAGGTAAGGCATCTTTGTATATTTGCTTCTTATTGCTGCTAACGACACTACAAAAGAACGAAAGTATAGACAGTCTTCATCCTCTAACATGGCATTAATTTGAATCCACTTTTTTACGTAGAACTACTGTCGTCAGTAATGAAATAAGCAAAAAGCGTCTACAAAGTTATCAAAGATACCAGGATAATAATGTGTAACACCAGACTCGTATTTCGTCTACATAAGACTGATCAGTGGCGCTCGAATCAAAACAGTTTTAAGGCTAAATCAATGACGAAGTTGATGAGCATTAAATTCCAAAAAAAATCCAGAAAATTGTGCTGAATCTGCCATATATGCCTCGGGTGATATAAGACGATGACCATTAAAATGAGGTAACTATGAAGAGTATAATTAATGCAACTATTGTTGATCCAAAAGTATTTTTGCGGATATGTGGCATAAAGTAGATTCTGAGTATAATGGAAAAAATTGAAAACAACACGTTTAATAATTTCATGCGTCCGAAGCGCTTTTCTGGATTTACCTTCATCAGGAACGCTCAATGCAATTATATATTTGTACTATGGGGACAGTCATCTAAAGACTGCATGAAAGGACTCATCTATATAAGCAACGTTAAAAAACAACATAACAATTTAATAAAAACTTTATTGGATTCATTAAAAGGCCTGAATAAATATAAGATTAGGCAGATATGTTGTGATTGCTATTATGAAACAACTATCCCTAAAGACCAAATGTGAAACAATTCAAAAGGGAAAACCAATGGACTTATCTATATAAATTATAACACAACAATGAACGAAAAACAAATATTTCGGACAGCAACCAACGACTTTTAAACAAAGAAACGTATACAAAAAAAATATATTAAATCAAAGTTACTATATTACAAACGATTTTAAAAGTGGGTAAGACACCAAGGGGGTTCATGAAAAAACAGAAGTCAAAGAAAAGCGGGCAAGAGAGTCAAAAAGGAAGTAACAGTTGTCCACAAAACACTTTACAGAAAACTGAAGATTGTGAAACACGACACCCACCACAAATTGGGAATCAGCTCGGAAACTGAAAAATATTTATTTTATCTGAAAAAAAAAAAATACAATTTTGGAGCAAAAGTAATATTCACTAACAAGAAAACCATTTTACGGTAATAAATTATTATGATGAATTCTAATCCACATGGAATTGTTCTACTACAACACTTTTTGTGCTTAAGATTATTTGCAATCAACAGTTTCTTTTCTGGTTAATAAAATCAACTTCAAATTTTATCTTTAAATACTTTTATGTCCTTGGAAACTTACATCTGAGTATTGAACGTGAAAACAGTACTTCAAAAGACTTGCTTGTGTTACTTTTTAAGACATTCAAATCCTGCTGGGCTGATTCATAAAAGGGTCTGCATTTTCCATTATTCTTTTCTTTTAGGTTTCCATGGAACGATGCTGTCTACTCTTTCTTGGTGTTTTTGATGTGAAGTAATGTGAAGGTCTTAACGTGTCGTGCTGGCATCGTGAGTTTATCTTCACATTTCTCTCAGTTGATCCAGTCGTAACGTTATCGTTCGTTTTCTCTATTAAAGAACCGTTTAGAACCATTAGTCCAAAAGTAATTTCCCTTCTTCGATGAAATTATAAACGAAGATTTTTTCCTCCAAATGTAGGTGCTGCTGGAGTGTTGTTAATAAATTCGAAGTATCATTTATAGTACAGATCTTTCGTTTGATATTCTAATGCTTGTGTTTCCTATCAATGTTACTTCATGGAGTGTTGAAACTTCTAAAATACTGAACCCAGGACGCCTAATGGAAAAGTTAAAGTTGTCACTCTAAAATTCCAAAGATGACAAGTTAGTGGAATATTTGTTTCTCAGTTGACTACGTGATATGTTCCATAGTGAGTTCTATCCTCCCATCTCTTTTCATGTCATATAACCAAAAACGTTTTATACACGCATTGCAGCAGATGCTTACCCTGTCAAACACACCGACCTTGCTGCTTTTGGAGTTGCGATTCTTTAGATTGCTTTTAATAGATTTGCATATTCAAAATAAATAGACGTGCGAGATTTGAACATCGGTAAACTTATGCCTTTTATCTATTACCAGATATTTATATATATCAAGAGCACCATGACTTTCTATATCAGCATCGGCACTTGAGTTTTAACCTTAATCTATTTGGGTTGGTTTCGCTCAGTTCTCTAGCTTTATTTATATTGTTTTGCGAACTATTGTTCGTCTGTTCGTCATTTTCGTGTTGGCCAATGTATTGTTTTATAATTTTGAAAATTCCTTGGTTATTTTAAGGTTGTTTTCTTCAAAATATCTTGAACAATGTGGATGTGGGATTAGATAGTACGAAAGCAGTATTAAAATTAGGTTACAAAAAAAAATAACTTTAAAAAGTCTATTTTGAACAATCTACTGGCATCTCGTAACCTTCGGTTTAGTAGACTTTTCAACAGAGCTTTGTAAACAATAACTTTTGATTTCATTCTGAACCACTCAAAATGCAGTAAGTACAAGCTGTAGCCTCTCATATAATGAAGCCAGTTAACTGACATGAGTTTGCAAACAGATTTCTGAATATAATATCGGGAAGAAGAAAAAAAGACATTGCAAGAGATTTAAATAATATGAAGATCAAAGCAACATGATGAAATCTGAGATACGAAGAGGAGTAAAAAATGAAAAGAACTGTTTATTAATTTGGTGCCTCTGATATGCCTCACTGGATATACCTTCATCGGTAACGGTCAAGCCCAAAAATTCGAAAAATTAAGGAAGTATAACTATTTCAATATGTTATGATCTATATGACCACAAAAGGGGCCTAATATAAAAAGGATAGCCATCCTATGTCATCTTTGCCTAAAAACAAATATTATTATAAGTAAAAACAAGTTGTTATTGGCTTTGAACTAGCTGTCAGTAACTGCGAGTACTCTCACATCTGTACTTAGTGTCTTTTTTGTTGTTAGGGATTAAGGAAAGATATATACTCTGCCAAGTCCTGTCTGTGTTTTTGTTTGATGTTTTTCTTTGTATCAACTGATTTTTATAGTTTGTTCTTATGTTGTGCTGATACACCACTGTCCCAGATCACAAACATGTTTAACCCCGCCATATTCTGTATGTGCCTGTCCCAAGTCAGGAGCCTGTAGTTCAGTGGTTATCGTTGGTCCATTGTCAGTCATATTTGATTTTCGTAAATTGTTTTGTTATAAATAAGGCCGTTATTTTTCTTAATTGAGTTGTTTCATATTATTCATATCGGGCCTTTTATAGCCGACTATACGGTATGGGGTTTTCTCATTGTTGAAGGCCTACAGTTGCCTATAATTACTTACATCCACTTCATTTTACCTTTTGTGGATAGTTGTCTCAAAATGGCATTCATACCACATCTTCTTATTTTTATATTAACAAAAATACCGAACTCCAAGGTAAATTTAAAAAGGGGGAAACTGACACAATCAAACGTACGGAGTCAGAAGCTAAGTTTCTTAATAATATCTAAATTTATCAACGTGGAATTTAAGGAAGGCATATTATAAATCATGTCAAAGCACTACCTACTGAGCTAAGGATAACCTCTGGGACTAGCAATCCAGCAGTAGCGGAATCGACCATGAGAAACGAAGCGATCGAAAATGAAGGTTTAAAGTAGGTGAAATGATAACAGGTTTTCCCCACATCTTTTTCTCAACACCTTTTAACTTAGCATGACTTCTTATTGTAAATCCCATGTGAATTTATAATAAGACCAAGGTTTATAAATTCACCACAATCATTGTATTAACAGTCATTTGGGCAATACATATACCAACACTGATACTAACTCTAATTAATTCCGCCATTACCTCGTGACTACTTCAACCAAAATCAACACTTGAACAGATAAACATTGTCATTGAGTAGCACATGGTTTTAACGTGACAAAAAAAATTTGATTTTTTTCTCTAAAATACTCACACCTTTATCAAAGATGGGATCAAAAGATATAGAGATGAAGAAACATACGTTAATTTGTTCAAATAACATCTTGACAAGTTTCCTTGTACAGTTATTATTGTGCAATGCAGAGAAGTGTACTCATTTTGAGCTGGAACTGCTGGAGAGTTTGAAATTACAAATAGGATATAACTCAAATTTAAATCAGGGAACCAACTATGAAAGATTCAAGAGTTATTCAATGATTTTCGCCAATCCATGATAAAAAACTATTAAATCACTTGTTTTTAATCAAGTTTCAAAATATTTAAAAAAATATTTTTTTCACTTTCCGCCTGAAACAATTGATTTTGTTTTCGAGAAATTAAAAATTAAAACTCTATTTTAAAACGGCATTGTCTATTTTGCCGGCTCCGATTAAAATATCTTAATTTAGCCGGGAAAATAGCATATTTCTATAGCAATGGCTATTTTGCTGGCGTCGGACATATAGTAAATTTGTTATTTTGCCGGTTCTTTGTAAAGAGTGAATTTTAATTTACTTCTGAAAAGTACTACGAAAATGTGCATTGTCAACATAAAAGAATCAAATTATTACTCGTATAGTTAAATAAGATAACAGTAACAGTATTTGAGATACATATAACCTGGGACTATCTTTCTCTAGTATAAAAGTCCCAGATATAATCGTTTAAAACACGTATCAGTCAAAGTGAAAATAAGAATTCGTAAAAAGAAATAAAAATAAAAATATTGTGCATCCATTTATAGCAAATTATATCAAAGCATGTAGTTCATGTTGAAATAATTTCGAAAATCGGTCACAGTCTAATGCTACATGTATAATATGCATAAGAATAAAATCTCAGAATTTTTAGCAGAATTTTTACCCCCCCCCCAACCCCAACCCCAACCCCCAAATCCTACAAAATCATAAACCGTCAATATAATAAAAAAAAACAGTAGGTCAGTGTGCTTATTTTCAAGTTTGATAAAGACAAGGCAAAAAAACTCATATTGTGTATATGAAAAGTTACATATATAAACAAATTGCTAAGGTAAAATTCATCACCAATCATTTGCGATCCAAGTTACCGCGTAAAGACTCCCACATCACCGTAACCTACTAAATGAATTGAAATTAAATGTGTTCTTATGACCCCTTACTTTAAAATTCTTTCCCTAGTCTAAACTAGCAAAAAACTTACCGTGTCAATAATGTTGCGACCTCAAACCACTTGAACAGGACGGACGCGGACTTGGTAGATACTGATAGTTCCCTTGGCTTCAGAAAATTCCTTAAAAATCCGATTCTACGGAAAACCGAAGGACATTTTAGTTCTATATAATATTAAAAATCAGTATTGACTTTTCATTGTCGCGAAAAAGAAGGTAGTACATGTCGTAATTGGCGTAAAATCTAGATTATGACATGAACAATTCTTAAAACACTTTGAATTTTGCCCTGACTCTTAGTCAATCTTTAAGTGGCTTCATCAGTTCAGCCACTTCAAGAATTACACATAAAGACTTAAATGATCATATGGCAGCCAACTGTGAACATGCAGGCAATGCGCCTTTTATTCCAATATTCTGCTAGATTTCCTTAATTTACCGAGTTCTTTTTCAAACAAATTCAGTCATACATTTGAAGGGTTACTTTTATGTACCGCCATAGTAGTAATTTGGCGTCTCATATAATTCGCTTCCATATTGTAAAGATTGTGTAGATAGTGCATAGATATAAACTACTTACAATGTATTCTTTAAAGATTGCGTTGGTATGATAAAAAAGTTAAATGATTAGAAAAAAAACTAAAACTAAAGATTTTTTGTTAAAATGTCAATGAATGTAGTACAGAATAATAATATACAAGAGCGTAGTCCAATTCCCCAACAATAGTGGTTTAGTATATTCCATTGAAGTCCCCGGATGCATTGTGTAAATTGACAGAGAATTCTTGATTAGTGCAATCTATTGTAAGATTCTGAAGAGAAGGTGTGCCTAATTTGATAAATAAGGTGCTTTTTGTATTTCGATGAATGGCTTGGTGTTGAACTTTCAATGGCAAATACTACATACATTTCAAGAGGAGAATACGTTATTGTGAGGTAATCAGTTGGAATGGGCTTGACTCATCAGATCGGTTCCAAGGATAAAATAGGAGCTGCGTCGGATAGAAATCTACCTTATGCAAATGAATATCAATACAGCTGTTAACCTATTCGGGTTGAAAAAATATCTATGGAAAGTCTGAAACCGTTTGAAAATTGAGCTGTTATAGGAAAATCTACAAAACAGACCAAAATATTCATCCATAATTTTGTATTTGAATGTTCCAATTTGGGAAATTCAATCAAAGTCTTATACATGTACATGTATACGTCCACTTGCATAAGGTCGATTTCTATCCGACGCAGCCCATATATAACAAAAAGAGTAAGAGACTAAAACATTAAATATCGATCTAAAAGTTCTCACAGTTACTGAATGCAATTTTGTGAATCAATTTCAAGTAATAAATCAACCTTGATACGGGTTGTGTTCTTCTCATATATTTTATGATGGTATGAGACTAAACCTCCTAACGGGAGGGATTGTACCTGATTTTCATATGATGAAGACATAATCTTTCAATCAGTTTAATTGAGGTCTGGAGCTGGCATGTCAGTTACTGCTAGTAGTCCTTTGTTAATTAATGTATCATTGTCATTTTGCTTAGTTTCTTTTGTTACCTATTCTGACAACGGACTCGGACTTCTTTTAAACTGAGTTTTTCTGTGCGTATTGCTGTGTTTTTGTTTATTCTACATTAGCTAGAGATATAGGGGGAGGGCTAAGATCTCACAAAACATGTTTAACCCCGCCGCATTTTAGCGCCTGTCCCAAGTCAGGAGCCTCTGGCCTTTGTTAGTCTTGTATGTTTTTTAATTTTAGTTCATTTATATGTTTTGGAGTTTAGTATGACGTCCATTTTCACTGAACTAGTACACATTTTTGTTTAGGGGCTAGCTGAAGCCTGCCTCCGGGTGCGGGATTTTCTCGCTGTGTTGAAGACCCATTGGTGGCCTTCGGCTGTTTTCTGCTCTTCGGTCGGGTTGTTGTCTCTTTGACGCATTCCCCATTTCCATTCTCAATTTTATTTCCTAGACTAAAATAGCAGTACAGCTCCAGCTGATTTAGTATAACACATTAGTCGTCATAAGCAATCTAAAAAGTATGAACTTTGATTATGCCAAAAAGTTAGTATCGACAGGGTGTAGGACCACAAGAAATAATGCATCTATTCTCTAATTTCACTAACAAGCTTCATATTTATTTTATACTTATTAATATATTTTTAATGTTTACCTGCACGAAGAAGGCTACCAGAATTGAGTATCCAGAGGGCTGGAGGACAACATTATCAAAGTAGTTCATCAGTATATGTGTACATCCTCTCTTTGACAAAGTGTCAGCAAAAAGAATATGCAGATTTTTGTCGTTTAAATCGTGATGAATGCAGGGTCTTGGTGATAAATAGTCACAACAACTGAAAGGTGCGCTGTCGGTTATAAGTTCTCCACCCTTTAATTTTCTACAAAATAATAATCATATTCTCAATCTCGAGCTCTTTATTTATCAATTCAGTAATTAGTAAGCAGCTGGCTTTATCGTTATAACTCAACATTATAAAGCTGCAGACCAAATATTAAATAATTCCCTTTTATAGAAGCCAAAACAACTTTGACAAAAGATTTCTATCGAACGGACGGACGGACGGACGGACGGAGTTGAGCGTTTAGCAGACCTGCTTCCGCCTTCGATGACGCAGGTAAAAAACAAAACAAAAACAAATTTACGAACTTAGGTCAAGGAACAGTAAATTGGCTATGTCACAGATTTTGTTTAAATTTTGCATACAACTTTTGCATGTTGACTTCTAAAAACAAATCGAGAGAAAAGAATCATTTAAATGTTATGCTTGATAAAATCGTCACGGTATTCAGTGGCGGATCCAGGAGTCGGTTTCACACGGTTAGAACACCCCCTTTTTTTGACGATCAATGCTGTTGAATGGGGACATATCTTTTATCCTGGATTGGAACCCCCCTTTTAAAAATGGCTGGATCCGCCCCTGGTATTGAATGAAAATACTGATTTGTATACTTAAGAAAGAATATAAGGCAGGTGATCACTAATTTTATGCTTTACTTCAGTCTTCACGCTTAACCAATATTTTGGCATAAATAATAAACCATATTTCAAATTAATAAAGTTCTATTTCACAAACGCATGTATATGTATGGTCAGAATAAATCCAGAGACCAGTTGCTTTCTTTAAAAAAAGAAATGCAATCGTGAACCTAAATGCCTGTTTGGCATGAATGATCAGATAATTGATACATGAAGAAGCATGATTTTACCTCATTTTTTAATAAAAAATGTAGAAAAACTGACATAGATTCTTAATGAAGCTACTGTTCTATGTGGGGTATAATTTTCTTGTTAAAGAAATAATTTCTCTCTCTCCCATCCCTCTCTATTTCGATAGATAACATTCCAACATGCAATCTGATTAAAATTCAGATCTATCTTAACTCGCGTGCTCGTACATATAAGCATATGAGGATAAAGGATTTAAATTAGATTGTACAACACGCTAAATAAGAGGCAACCACTGTTTGTTCCATTCTGAGGTGCTATTTTTGAAATTAGAGGTAGCTTCCTGGCTAAAGTCGAAATGTAAATGTGAAACAGTCTTTGTTTTGAAGAAGTTTATGAAAAGAATCAGGATTATTTGTGTGTAGCCAGTTTGGAAATAGTTCAAAACCCCATGCTAAATTCGTATTTGTTAATTCCGAACAAAGACCGTTTTGGAAAATCAATTGCACTGATTTATATGGTTTGGTCATTGGCTATCATATTCGAGATATATGCTTAATTTCAATTTATTTATACCCCAGACAACAAACTCAAAACAGACTTTTAGAGTAGAAACGATTTGAAACCTCAACTTTATACTTAAATCAGTTTGCTGAAACATTTATCACTTGTCCTTTTGTAAATTAGCCAAATTATAATGAAGTTGTTGATTTGCACTTTTATACGATACTGTGACAGACAGCGGGAAGCAGGAATAACAGCGCCAATTCAGTATAGCTCATGTCCAGTTCGCAATATAAAAATCCTGTTTTTTGCAATCGTATGTTCGTTTTATACGGATATTGATTTTAAGAAAAATAATTTTTTACTAAGTTGTCACCAAAAAACGCTCTAGACCTCTGTCAACTGGACCCTCTAAATTCGCTTATGACTACAGATTGGCTCGTCTCCTTGAAAACAAGTTGACGGAATTCCCAGAAACTTGCACTGATTCTTCTTTAGATGGAACATGAAGTTGTGCACTAGCTACTTCAACTTTTAATCTGATTTTATTTTGAGGGGGAGGTGGATTGTTTCACATACCGAAAACAAAAGAATTGACATTTCCATTTATAACTATATGTTTTGGAGAGGAAAGTCGGCACAGTGACACGTGCCCTTTGAAAATTCACACATTTTCGTAAAAAAATTAACATAATAGGTATAAGAAGATGTGGTATGAGTGCCAATGAGACAACTCTCCATCCAAGTCACAATTTGTAAAAGTAAACCATTACAGGTCAAAGTACGGCCTTCAACACGGAGCCTTGGCTCACACCAGCATCTTTTATTTTATAAAAGAATCATGAACTGATAATACTCATCTTCCTGTTATTATAAGTCTTTGGACAATTGCTCATCTATCCTCGCAAACCACATATCGGTAGTAATTTACAATAGTTTTCAATGCCAAACATCGAGGAATATATCAAACCTCAATTTGTTTTATTTCATTAACCATAAGTTTTAAATAAATAGAGAGTTATCGCCTCAACTCCAAAGAAAATCACTCAGTGTCTGTAAATCTTTTCATATCTTTAGAATTATTTTAAGGACTCAAACGCATATTCATTTATACTGTTTATATGTGACGTATAATTTCTGCATTTAACATACATAAAAGGTGTCTTTAAATTTCGTCGTAATTTCAAGGGTTAACTTGTATTTTTTAATAAGATTAAGTATGGTTTCTTTAAGTAAAAAAGGAAGATGTGGTATGTTTGCCAATGAGACAACTCTCCACAAGAGACCAAGTAACGTAGAAGTTAACAGCTATAAATATATGTCACCGTACGGCCTTCAACAATGAGCAAAATCCATACCGCATAGTAAGCTATAAAAGGCCCCGAAATGATAATGACAATGTAAAACAATTCATACGAGAAAACAAACGACCTGGTTTCATCGCGTTGTCATTATTATAATTATTGCTTTTGTTTCCTTATTTATATCTAAGTTTGAATTTTATAACTTAAAGGTATATCAAAAAATAAAATTTCGTTATAGCATCTTATATCTGCATTTTACACACCTGAACGATTCGTCCGTGACTTTTATCGCATGCAACTTCGTGAATTTCCGGAAATTTTTTTGAAAACATGACAGACGACATGGCTGCGTTTGTCGAGTCTTTGAAAAACCGCAAGTGATTTAATACTTTTCACAAAATGGTTGAGAACCAACTATGAATTAAGATTACACATGTTTTGAAAGACATATCAAATTTTGAGTCGTCCATCCAGCCCCGACAACTTCAGGCATAACTATGCACATGTTTTCGGGGGCAACCATCACAGGAAAGGTGACAATAAACTTTTCAAACTAAGAACATGATAATTGTTGTGATATGTCACAAGATAAATAAAATGCTTGTATTATCAATAAAAACAATTAAAGTTAAGAAATTTATAATTGGCTGTCAGGAAATATTATCTAAAAATTCAAAGAAAGACAAACTCTTAATAGTTCTTGTCTGTATTTCTTCTGCTGAAGTATATGATAATCGGCCCTCGTTCATGATATTCATTAGCCCTCGAGCCTACGGCTCTTATGCTGATATCATGACCTAGGGCCGATAAAGGGTCTGATATGAAAAATGCAATGCAATAATCTATACATATCAGCCCATTGAGCACCATTTCGGAAAATATGGAATTCACGTAAATTTAATGCTATTATCATGTACTGTAAAAATTATAAGTTATTTACTCTTAGTATAAAGTAAAATCACAAAAATACTGAACTCCGAGGAAAATTCAAAACGGAAAGTCCCTTATCAAATGGCAAAATTAAATGATAAAACACATCAAACGAATGGACAACAACTGTCATATTCCTGACTTGGTACAGGCATTTTCAAATGAAGAAAATGGTGGATTGAACCTGGTTTTATAGCGCTAAACCTCTCACTTGTATGACAATCGCATCAAATTCCGTTATATTTACAACGATGCGTGAACAAAACAGACATAATAGGTAAAATAGTCACAATATGGGTACAGCAGTCATCACTGTGACACAATCTCAAAATAAACAAATATTTAACAAAAAAGCACAAAAAAGTAAAATCACAAAAATGTATATGATAAAATTATTTTGTGAATACTATGATTTCTGGTGTCATCCTCGATGATTGGAAGTTAGTTACCCTAACTCAAAACAAAAGAAAATAATCACATCCTTAGAGCAAATATTATCCCCTATTCTTTACTTATTTGCAAACAGTCTCATACACTTAATTGATGAATAGCTTCAGAAACATGGTCAATCTGTCTATGTTTCGTATTGTAACCCGATTCCGAAAAATAAGTAGACATAAAACATGCTTGTATAACATAAAATAAATGTCCCCAATGAAATATTGTCTGTCGGACAAAATTTCACATACATTTATTTCCCGTGTCTGAGGGATATATGAAGATGTGTTCACCCAAGAAAATTCATATTTCACGAGGCGAGGGAATTTAAATATGACTTTTCGAGTGGAACAAATCTGCATATCTCCCTAAGTCAATGGAAATGAATGTTCTATCCCACTACCTATATTTTTTTTACTTCCTGAACATAATATATTAAATTACATATTTTTTTCTTATCCGCTTGTTTTTATAAGTAAACACGACATTAACAATAATAATCAGTACCGATCAAAATTTAATCATTTATTTTTTTAGTTTTGTTTTTAGATCTTAAATAATTTTGAAAACGAAATTACTATACTATCTCTTAAATAGAACCCGTTCACAACGTTATAAACATTAACCGCGCGTAATGGCGCACATTGAAGTCCCGACGTTCAGAGGGGAATATGATACTCAGAGGGGAATATCATAGTGAAGTTTTGTTCGACGTCACGTGGGATAGTCTCAATCAATCAAATGTTGATTTCGATATCAATATAAACATGCAGTGGAATAATATAAAATATAATTGTCCGCTGACATTTTTTCATAATGAATTCTGTCCATGACAATATTTCACTGTGATATACTGTCCATGAAAATATTTCTTAATCTTATTATGTTTTCCCTAAAAAAATCCTCTGCCAAAAAAATGTGAGCATTTCTTGATTTTTTTTTAAATTTTCATGCAGATTTGTTTGTTATTATCAATCCAATAAAACACGTAAATGATATCATTATACAAAATATTAAATTTGTATAACCTCCTTTTCTTGAGACAAAATTTCATGAGAATTCATCTATAAGATATTAAGACAATATACACAATATATAACCTTGAATAACCTCCCTTTAAGAAGACAAAATTTCTACCATCTATGAAATAGTGTCTGTATATGGACAACATTATATATGGAAATCGTCCTTCTCTGGACATTATTTCATAGACGGGGACAAAATTTCATGATACAAAGTCATGAAATTTTGTCTTCAGAGACAATATTTCATAGGACAACATTTTGCTTTACACTTGTAAGTTCGTGACCTTTGTCTTAAACGGTGGCTTTGCAAATGTGCAACAATATATAGGTCAGGCCTATTGTATTTTGTATTTGAACACTACAGAATAAATTTGAGATCAAGTAACAAATGAATATCTAAAAAAAAGACAAATTAGGACGTACTAACTTTTTTATTCTCCCTACAACAATTATTCCTTTTTTTAAAGGTGACTTTTAATGGTCAATTGGAAAGTCCAGAATTAAACACTTTAAATATGTTTAAGATAACTTAACTTTAACGATGTCAATAATGCATCAAAAGTAATAAATAAGGGGTTTGGTAGTGTTTATTGTCCTTTAATTATTGAAATTATCAATCTTGAAATTTTGAAAACAAAAGTTACCCACATCCGAAAATAAAGTTACGGGCAGTCTGATTAGTTTTGACCAAAAAAGTTGGGCGGACATCTTATGCATTTTTTAAAGTTAGCCTTGCGCTGTTAAGTGAACTCAAAACCAATAACAAATTTATAGTAATGGTAAGTGATTTCTTTATTCAAGAATCCTATAAATAATTACATAGTGCACGAAAAACGTCACAAAAAGTAGATTTTGTATTAATTATATATCAACGAGTTTAGATTAATCACAGTGATAATGAGTGATTACGGCGTAGTGAACTTATTTTGTTTTATATTTTTTGACAACAATCACCTCTTTCATTCAGCCTTGGACACAGGCATAGCAATTTCCTACAACTGAAAATTAAAAACCGGTAATTTAAAACCTAGCAGGGCAGGGGTATTTTATGATCTAACATATTTGAGGGTATGGATGGGGGTTTACAGAATAGAAAATAATAGGCAAACAGTATAAAGAATAGAGAAATGGCATAGAAAAATAAAGAATATAGGACCCCCCCCCCCCCCCAGACCCCATCCAGACCCTCATATATATATATATATATATAAATATGCATACTTTTTTACTTCTGGACGATTGATATTGATATATTCCATGTTCATCCAAGCTGTTGTTAACCATTCCTTGTAACTCTCACTACCACAACAATGATAGTCCAGTTGTAATCTGTCAATTAATAATTTACTCTTCGGTTCTTTATGATACACTCCCATCATTTTTGATATTCCTTCTTTCAAGGAATCTTTGATTTCACTGCTATGTGAAAAACACATCATCGAAGCAGCAAAAATAAACCATATAATCACAAAAAGATACAGCAGAAATAAAATGAGTAAATTTTGGAATCGCCCTCTCGTTTCTGGATAACCACAATCATAACAAACTTTAGCCATGATCAGATTTGTCACGAACATGATTATTCCGACAGTTAGTAAGAACGACGGTAGCACATCAGGATCATATCCTCGCATCAACACTAACTTTTCATCAATATTTATTTTGATAAATCCAGCTAAAATCATAAGAATGCAACCAAACAATGCCAGTAATCCACCAAGGACTGTCCCAGCCAAACCAAGCTTCTCCCTTCCATCTTCATCAATATCTATGTTTATACACATTCTGCATTTTCAATCATTTCAGCCACCAAAGACAAACAACAGGAAGCGGAAGTGTTAAGATAACGCTAATGACGTCACATCATCCAGATTGACGTAATGAAAATTTTCCCGTAGTATTTTTGATCATTTTTACAAAGATTTATGCTCATCAGAAAAATAGTGTATACACAGGTATTCCATATAAGTAAATACTTATCATTCATTGTAATGTTTGCTATACCATAGGTACTTGGGGACAGGACAATTTTTCCCCTTTTTTCTAAAATCCGTTATTTTTTGTTTTCTATCAATTCAAATTATTTTCGCGTTTTTCTATATTATATGACCATAAGTATACTAGAAATAGCTTGTATTTGCCATTTTTGAAATAGAGTTCTTTTTAAAACCCTCTCACAAATAATTATCATTTTCGTACATGGAAAACCCTATTTTTTCGAGGTAAAATGCATATTTTTCGCATATTTTGAATACACATTCCTGACTTAGTATGCCTATATTGATGAATTTGACTTTGTTAACATTAAGTTTACATAGTTGACATTATAGAAACATTGTTATTTTATTTTCAAAATGTACCGTTAAAGCATATGACGTCATCAAAAAGTGTATTATTCGTGACGTTTATGTGTAAGACGTCGAAATAAAGTAGCTTGCAGGTACTTGAAAATACCCTTAGTTAGTGTTGTACAGTCAACGGCTTGTAAAATGGTTATAGTTTTATCGATTTGCATAGTGTAAAGTGTTATTGATTGCAAAAATTCTTTTGCCATCCTATCAGAGTTTCATTTTTTTCAAATATATTTGATATTTGCTGAAATATATTCAACTTAAAGCAGATTTTATTTTTGAAACAATATACAAAAAAAATATTTACTCTTTTGTTGTAAAAACTCTGAAGGATCGTGTCGAAGTCTTGAATACTACTTTATATAAATAGAGCCGAAGTCAACAATATCTCTTCATAAATGGAACAGCGTATCAAAATCATTACATAAGCAACTGAACAATATGCCGTGAATTAATAAATTGGCCGCACAATAATTCATTTCTTTGGGGTTTTTTTTTTTTCATTTTTGTGATGTATTATTTAATGTGTTCACGTTTCACGTATGCCATCAATCCCATTGGTATTATTTTAATAAAGTTCAATTATTCTTACTTTGCTATTACTTGAGATTTCATCCGGCTTGTCAGTCGACAGCAAGGATAACATTTCAAGCCGCAGGTTGTCAGCGGAAAAAAAATAAGCCGGAGCTAACGTTTCACCAAGGCGAGAAAAAATAAAAACAGTCTACTAAAATAAATACCCAGAATTTATTGAAATACATGCATTTACCTAAAGCATGCATCTTTATACTCCGTCTTAGAAGAGCACGTCATAGGATTACGGTATGTGATAGGTGATACTTTAAAAGCTATTTAACTATCTAAATATTTCAAAGAACCATGCCCTACAAATTGATTTTTTCGGATTTTAATTTAAATTTTCATCATTTTTGGGGGGTGAAAACTTTTAAGCAAAAAGAAAGAAAATAGCCAAATGTCAGAAGCGGACGAGAATCTAGGATTTTTTTGTTATAGCCTCAACATAACGTGGAATTACATTTTGCCAACTTAATACGAGTTCTTTTCGGTTATGAAATGGATACTGTAATTCAGACAAAGTTGGGATGTAAGAATGGAATTATTAAAAAATTCATAATCAAATAGCAAAGAAAATAATTTCTACAGCAAATAAAGGAACCACTGGCATCTACTCTAAGATCTCCATTTTTAAAATTTTTTAAGGCCTTCCCCTAATTTGGACGAAAGAGATAAAAGTCATCTAATTAACGTCTTGAAACACTGATGCATTTGTTTTATTGTACGTGTTTGTCAAAAGTTACTAAATCATAAACTCACTTTACTATGTTTTTTGGAAGTTGAGTTTAGGGGTGTGTATATTAGAACAGGCCAATCTTCAATACGGAGCAGTTATGAATAAAAGTAGATGCAGGTGGTATACATCAATAAGACAGCAAGCAAACAACAAAACCCCAAGTAGACATCTAGAAGACATTTTTGGTATTAATACAATGTGTCATGCCCTAAATAAGTTTTTCCTCAGTCTGGTTAAAATGAAGATCTGTCGTTACTCGCTTTCTCTTATTTATGAACATAACGAAACCAAAGATCTATATTTTAAGTTGATTGTTTTTTTATTAAGAAAAGGTTGTTGTTTTCTTTATGATCTTACAAGAAAGGGGAGAATATTATATACAGACAATTTTCACTTTGTATTTTGATTGATTGTGGCTTGCTAAACATCTAGTTTGCAACATGATAATAGTTTAAGAATCTTATTCTTCAACAATGGTTACAGTGTGAATGTGCTTTAATATTTTACTAATAGATATAGAAAGGACGAGGAATCCCCCTATGATAGTTGCTTACAACTTGCCTTTACTAGAGGCTATTTAGAGTTTGATACATCGTCATGATGTTTGGTTGCTGTACAAAAAAGATATCATGTTGTAGGCCGTACGGTGACCAATAGTTGCTAACTTCTACGCCAGTTGGTCTCTGGTGGAAAGTTGTCCCATTAGTAATTATACCACTTCAACTTTTTATCATAATTAAGTCTACAAAGACGCCCGTTTCGTCTCTCTCAAATGAAAAATAGTAACGATATTGAAGAGCATTAAAAAGAAAAAAATAACTAAAAGCAAATCAAATTCAAAACCTTAAAATGCACTATTATACATAAATATGAAGCCTGTACTGATTAGTTACTAGTATTTTTTTTATCAACTCAAATCACAGAGATGCAAACTACTAGTATATCATATTTTGGATTCATTATTTTGGAAATTCATTTGTTATTTATAAATTTGAACTTAATTGTTTCTTTGATTCAAACTGATTTTCTTTTTCTTTTTCATACATCAGCCTTTTCTGATAGAAAAAAAACTTCTAAATTCTACGGTTAGATTTTATTCTGATGTGCTAATTTTTTGTCTAAAGAAGAACAAAAAAGTCAATTATGACTTAATATCTATATTTTGGTCAATATTCTTAATTTTCTAAACATTATACCAAAAAAAATAAAATAATACTCAAATGCAAATATCGAATCTGTTGTTAATAAAATCAAAATCCAGCCTGAGAATAAATTACTTCACACAGATAATAAAGAAGTAAAATCCGATACAAAAAATGAAACCTAAATGGAGAAATGTAACAATATTTTTCAAAATATTGACGGTCTTTTAAATGTATTAACCGGATAGATCTGCATGAAAATACGTATAAAATGTTTGCGGAGAACAAGGTTTTAAAATGAGTAACGTTACATACTTATAATTTCTGTCGGTTATTTACAGAGATATACTCGATTATATTCCAAAGCAAGGTGAAATGGACATATATGTCCTCTTGGGACTCGGCCGGTGGAGAACATATATTTTCCCGTTTGGGACTCAGAGGGTTAAGAGCTTAAGAAAGTATTTTTATTCAGGTTTTGATTTATCTTTCAAGATTTCACACCGAATACACAACACCATTTTCAAATAGAGATAAACAATGTTGTCAAAATATGTTGTACATATCTTTGGTATAACTGACATCTGCCAAGAATATGGTGCCTCAGTGGTAAGTTAGTGATATATATTACATCGTATTGGAAATTTTCAGAATTGAAGAAGTCGGTTTCACAAAATAAAACAACTTACGACTAAGATTGATCGTAAATATACTGAATTGCTCATGACTTACGATCAATCTTAGTCGTTAGTTTGTTTGTGAAACCTACTCCTGAAGATTAGAACATGTGAAACCTACTCCTGAAGATTAGAACATGTGAAACCTACTCCTGAAGATTAGAACATGTGAAACCTACTTCTGAAGATTAGAACATGTGAAACTAAAAAAAAAGGAAAACAAGTTTAATAATTGCATGCTTCCGAAGCGTTTTTATGAATTTACCTTCTTCAGAAACGATCAAAGCCGAATATTTGAAAACCGATCAGTGGCGGATCCAGAAATTTTCATAAGGGGTGGCCCACTGACTGCCTAAGAGGGGGCCCGCTCCAGTCATGCTTCAGTGATTCCCTATATAATCAACCAAATTTTTCCCACAATAGGGGGGCCCGGGCCCCTGAAAAACCCTCTAAATCCGCCTCTGGCCGATGATGTATAAGAATCCTTATTCTAAACGAAAAACTAATCGAATCATTTTTAAAGCAGCTATTTATTGAGGACACAAAACAGCTTAAGTGTCATGTTTTTCTTCCTTTCTTGCATCTATGATTTGTCACCAACTACGAAATGCTCATTTTTTTGGGTATAGGCAGCGGTCATTCATCTTTTTAGGTAAAGATGGATTTTTTTCAAATCAATTACATACTGAAACTAGAGTATCTTTTTAAAACTCGCTGCTGTTTTCATTTTCCCCTAATTTTGAATCAAAACACTTCCCTTCTGGAAGAAATTTTTATTTCGGCAATTTAGAATCAAACAATTTCTCAAAAAAAAATATGTTGTACATAGTATTAGTATAGCTTATATCTACTAAGAATAGGGCGCCTGGTGCTTATAAATTACATCAAATTAGAAATTGTTAAATTTAAAACCGTTTAACGTCAAACCGTTTAAAATTAGAACATGTGAAATTAATCAACTCCTTTTTGAAGCAGCTTTTTCATAGGACAGATGCCGTGGATTAAAATGATTCGCGTATGCTTTGTGTTGCACAAAGAATGACATGCTCCTGTTGGGTATAAGACATCAGTCATTTATCTTTGGAGGGGTGAGAAGGGAGGGTTGTCATAACAAACATTTTTTTCTTTACTATGATAAAAACAAGTGGTTTTTTTCTTCAGTAACCATGTAACTGTAACAAGAAATATGTGTTTGATACTTATTGTTGTATTTCACTTTTTCCCTAATTTTCAATGGAAAGAAACTATTTTTGTCACCTCCATTCTGGAACCATTTTTATTTCAAGAAACGCCCCCCCCCCCCCCCTGACTGGTTCCCGATTGCAATATTCAGTATATGGCTATTAGATAATATACAAGGAACGTAATACCAGGAACCAGGATACGGATGGGATACCCAATGTGAAGTTTAAATCCATAAAAATCAAAAAAACATTTGTTAGGTCACAATTCTCTATTCATTAATACCACCTCATCCTTAAAACTCTGTATGGATAGTGTAACTTAAATTCTCTTTAACATATATTTAGTGGTAAAGTCAGTAAATATGAATTATGCAAAATTTAAATTTAGCTATATATCTTTTGAATTTATATCAAGCATCAATGGACCTTTAAAATAGTTTGAATTCGAAATTGAACACACGTTGTAGTGAAAGGAATTTCCTATTCATCAAACCGATCATAAAATGGGAACTTCGGGTAGTAAAGGTAAAAAAATCAAACAGACATCTGATAAAATTGACAGCGTTGAAACAAAGGCTTTGACCAAGCCAACACAAGAGCCAGAGACCACTCAGCCAAATATTCAACAGAACCAAATTACTGTTGAACATACACCTACTGTTTCAGAGAAGTACAGAGAAACAGAAGAAGAACGTATTACAGAAGCAGAAAGAGAGAAACTGAACAAACCAGAAAGAGCAGATGAATTTACATTCTGGGGAACTGAAGAGCTATAATAAATGACGGTAATGTTATTGCACGGATATGTCTTCTTTGTGTTGGATATATAATTATATTTAATATTTGAATCTTAATTACTTTATTGTCAGTATATGGGTATGTGTACCAACAGATCTTTTGATATCCATATCCATTACGGTTTGTATTCATCAAATTTCAATGCGTCCGTAGCTATAGTCGACACGGGTATTTAAATTCAATGGATGACACATTATATTTATGAAGTTCAGATGGTTAGTATATATGTTACATATTATTATTTAACTACAGCATGCATCAAATTTGATTTTTTTTTTGGCCGAAATGTAACAGAAATTTCAAAATTCTATTTCTGCTGAGAAATAATATACCAAATGTTATAAATGTTCAAAAAATTTAATTATTATAAAAACAACAAGTGTGGACACAGATCAGTGTGGATAGTATGATTGGATGTTTGACAGTGTTTTATATGACAAAAGGAGTTCTATGTTTTATGTTTTCTATGTATTAACTGTGTTGCACAATGACAACCAACATGAGCATTAGGGGTGTTGTTTATGTAATATTTAGTTTTTTATGTTCAACACGGGCATGGAAGAGATGCTAATTGCATTAATTACCAAATGATTATGATAGAATATATATATGTTCCACATCTTTGATTTTGGATACATTTTGTAGCTAGGAGAGGAACACATAATAGGTTCATTTTTTTCTTAATGTGATTTTTTTATATGGGAGATGGTATCTGAGAACATGTATTTGCTTACTATTTGTATAGTTCTATTTATATTACTTTGTGGGGGATTGTCAGTATCATAAGTAAAAGATTTCGGTTAAATGTGGAAATTGTTTCTCAGTTTAGAAGACATTTAATGTTTTTTAGTAATGACAATGCCTGACATGATGATTGGGTCTAGATGAGCTAGAACGTGAATTTCTGTGTTATTTTTTATTATTTCTTTGAAAATATCTCCTCCAAAGCTGGTCAAAGCAAAAAAAAGTTTTGACCAGTATGAAAATGATATCAACAAAAGAACCTTTGTGAGCATGCTTCAAAGACTCATAACTATAACTACAGAAGTCATATGATAAAATGTCAAGTGGATATAATGAACATCTACTTAATATGTCTAAATATCTAAAAAGTTTTAGTATTCAATATGAAAAAGCTATTGCAAAAGTATTCTCTTTTCAGTTTTTTTTGTTATATGGATACAAATTATAAGTGATACCAATACAGTAAGGCAGTTTTGTTATGGTATGAAAGTGTAGTAATTAACATTTACTGTTAATTCACACAAATTAAGAAATAAACAAATGAATGATAAGTGTTGAACATGTACAATGAAATATATTTTAGAAATCAATTAGGCCAGATAGGCCTTATAAATTTTGGTCTTTTTCTTAACATACTGAAGGACCATTTACACTCAGGACTGAGTCGCCAGTAGGCAGTACAGATGTAAAAAAATGTGGATAGTGTCCACATGTGGACACAGATGATGCCCCCGCTTGCATATCATATAGTTATAAAGGGACATATATAACTGAAGAACGGTAAAAGTGACGCTACCCAAATTTGAACTTGATCTGAGTTTTGTGGTAATAAGCATTGTGTGTAAGTCTCATAACATTAGGTTGAGGTTAATTTAAGTAGAGAACAGAAACTCAAAATTCAGCAATTTTTCTATTTGTAAACACGCATAACTCTAAAACGGTTGTGTATAAGTTTTATAACATTTGGTTGAAACAAACTAAAGTTAGAAAAACGGAAACAAAAAATTCAGCAAATTTCGTACTTAATCTGTATTATGTAGTAATAAGCATTGTGTATAAGTTTCATAACATTTGGTTGTGGCAAACTAAAGTTAGAAAACGGAAACAAACAATTTGTACTTGATCTTAGTTTTGTGGGAATAAATATTGTATAGGTTTCATAATGTTTGGTTGGGGCAAACTTAAGTTACAGAATGGAAACTAAAAATTTAGCAATCTTTCGATTTATAAAGGGGCATAACTCAATAATGGTTAAAGTGACCCTACCCAAATTCAACTTGATCTGTATTTTATCAGTGGAAGTCAAAATTAAACATTGCATTGTATAAAGCATTGATTGGAGTTGATTCAACTATAATCATGGACAAAGGAAGATAACTCCAATTTTAAAATTACTTGATATTTAGAAGGAAATAAAAATTTAGCAATTTTTCCATTTATAAAGGGGCACAACTCAAGAACGGTTCACCAAAATTCAAACTTGATCTGGTTTTTGTGGTAATAAGCATTGGGTATAAGTTTCATAACATTTGGTTGAGGCATACTAAAATTAGAGAACGGAAACGAAAAATTCAACAATTTTTCCATTTTTAAAGGGGCATAACTCTAGAACGGTAAAAGTGATGCTACCAAAATTCAAACTTGATCTGTGTTTTGTGGTAATAATCATTGCGTATAAGTTTCATAACATTTGGTTGAGGCAAACTAAAGTTAGAGAATGGAAACCAATTTTAGGACGTACGTACGTACGTTCGTACAGTCGGACAAGTGTAAAACTTAATGCCCCCTCCACTACGGCGGGGGCATAAAAATAAAGTGTAACAAAAGAACCTAGCATCATATTGCTAGTAGCGCCAGTAGCATTGCTTGGTGAATTTGTGCTTTTTTTATTTAATTTGGCTAATGGACAAAAAATGTTTGGTTCAAATCTAAATAAAATGCTTTTATCTCCCTATTACTTACATTGTACATAGAATGGATACTACTTTGACAATTCCTTGTACATGAGAGTTGTCTGTCAAATCTTTATTTCACAAAGAATGAATTGCATAACAATGAACTGAGCTCAAAGCAAAGCACTTTAATAATACACTTAGACAATGAGCTCAATCCAGTGATATACTTTGTACTACAGGTCCTTCATGAACATCCTACTGGCCAAAACCATATCTCACAAACATGCCATACTACATGGTTGGATCAGAAGTCCTGAAAAAGACATGAACTTTATTAACATATTTTGAGTATATACACCGGTTAAAACTTTCACAAATTTGTGGTAAAATTATTCAGTATCTAGCAACTATCAATCGCTTCATGCACAAATTGATATAGGTTGAGTACCCCTCTGTCAGAAATAAGAACATACCTCCACCTAATTTTAGTAAACTGATGAAGAAACATTCAAAACTATAAAATGTTATCTAATAGACTAGCTGCAATGAAATCCCAGTTTTCTAAAATGGTAGGTGGAACCTAAAACTCGAAAGATTTTAAACTATGCATTTTAAATATTGCAAATATACATGTAATAATAATAATTCTCAAAAATTCGCTATATTTTTCCTTACACAATGTATTTTGTCTTTTGTTCGAGACTGTATATTGACCTCTAGATGTCTTTCAATTACATCCAGTTTGGCATGGGTTGATGTTTGATTGTTGTACATGTTATATATCGACGTGGGATTTGTTTATATAAATTAGGCGTGAAATAATTTTGGTTAACTGAAATCCTTTAACTTACTTCCAAATTAATGTTAATACTGAGGGAAAAAATTACATTGCTAAATAACCACTTTAAAACACATGCAAACTTTTTGAGAGGAAGGCATAATGCATGTCACATCTATTAGATCTTTTTTCAAACCATTCTAAACTACTGATAAGTGATAAAGTTTGTTAACTGCTACTAACCTTCAAAAAGGGGGTTGCATTCACTTTACTACATATACATATAAATATAATCAACAATACTGAGTGCAACACCTAGGATAAATATAGGATTGTTTTGTAAGAATAGTTGCTGAAATAAGCAGGCAATATTCAAAGTAGAATAAAAAATATTACAGGACTGTGTTTAAAAGTAATAAGCATTGTGCAGGGCTCACGTTACCATGCTACTGGGGCGACAAAGTCGCTTTCCCCGGTCGCCACTTCGCTTTGACCGACCTTCAAAAGCGAAATGTAGTCGCCCTGTTGTTTACAATACTCAAATTCAGTCGCTGTCGTCATCGGCAATATTCAACATTTACCAAGTCGATGAAACAGAAATTTTCATTTGAAAGTAAAGAAATTCAAAGACATAAGCGAGTTATTTTCTTTAGGAGGTTAAAGCATTGATTTTAAAGTTGGTTGCATGTTATTTTCATAAAGACAACTTTTTTATCACTTCTGGTACTTGTTACTCAAGCGTAGATCAAATCATTCTAACTTTTGGCAAAATAAGCTTGTTACTTCATTAGAACGTGATGAAATTAAAGATTTCTTGCTGTTGTGCAATACACTGTGCTGTTGCGCAATACTTAGTAAATCTGTCGTCAGACTATAAACAAATAAAGTTCAATTAATTCCCAGTCATATTAGAAATTTGTGAAAATGTAAAGGGAGCTTGCATCAATAGTTGTAAACAATTCACTTAAGTTTCATGAGAATTGCTGACCGCATTTTTGAGCTATTGTCCGAAAACTGGAAAATCACCCCTTTTTTAATGAATAAAACCCCATCACTCAGAAATGTAAAATGTAAAATTTATAAAATTCTAAACGGAGCTTACATCAATATAGATATAAACAATTCACCGAAATGTCATACAAACTGCTGAAAGCATTTTTGATTTTTGTCCATAACTGGAAAATCCCCCCTTTTTTCATGAATAAAACCCTGTAACTCAGAAATGTAAAATATATAAAAATCAAAAGGGAACTCATGTCAATAGATATAAACAATTCACCACAATTTCTTGCAAGTTGGTGAAAGCTTTTATTGTCCGAAAACTGGAAAATCCCCCTTTTTTTAATGAATAAAACCCCACAACTCAGAAACGTAAAATCTAAAATTTACAAAAAATGAAAGGGAGCTCATGTCAATAGATATAAACAATTCACCAAAGTTTTATGCAAATTAGTTAAAGTGGTTTTGAGTTAATGTCTGACATGTTGACGACGGACAACGGTATACCATAGTACGTCCCGTAAACGGGCGTATCAAATTGACAGGGTGTCATACCACACCAAAACCTTCTGAAGGAAACACAAAGTTGGCAAACAATTTTTTTTTTTTTTCATTGACAACCCTGTATAACCTTGCAGCAGTATCAAGTCTACATGCATTACCTTGTATATTTCATGTACATTGAACTTAAAAATATGTGGTAATTGTCAAAGTTAGTTATGTCAGTTATAATTTACACATTTACTGAAACATGCCAGAGAAGTGCATGTACAAACTTTTGAATTTGATCTGCAAACTG